TGGCCATGGATGCTAGAATTCTATATTATAGTTCTAAGTTTGGCAACCGACCATTATATAGGAAGCCTCTGAAGACCATGGGCCATTCCTACTGAAGGTGCCAACTTATCAGTGCTATTCACCAATTCACTGTGATTCTTTAGTTGTACATTGTATATATCCCTTTGTATGAAATACTCCCTTTGTATGAAATACTCTGCTTGTTTCTGCTCCCAGTGTTTGTAAAAATGATGTTAGACTAACAGTGAATTGGTGAATAGCACTGATAAGTTGGCACCTTCAGTAGGAATGGCACATGGTCTTCAGAGGCTTCCTATATAATGGAAGTCCCATATACAGGTGTTAAGACTTGTAGTCCGACTTAAAGATTGTTAGCTGAGAGCTGTGAAAAGAATTATCTGAATCTTAGAATTATATTGAAAATTTTCGAAACGGATGATTACTCGAGATGTCCGTCTCTTCTTGACGTCACCACCTCTTCTGGATGGCGTCCTGTTATTGATTAAAACAAGGAATTATACACACTACGAAGCTCATCATCTTTATTATTGTCTATTATTCTTGATTGTATGAACTTTTGCAGCAATTTGTGTTTTGATGTCTATTGTATTGCTGTTCCCTTAATTGCTATTTGTTTGAACTTGAGAGAGCCCTGGAATTGATTAAAACAAGGAATTATACACACTACGAAGCTCATCATCTTTATTATTGTCTATTATTCTTGATTGTATGAACTTTTGCAGCAATTTGTGTTTTGATGTCTATTGTATTGCTGTTCCCTTAATTGCTATTTGTTTGAACTTGAGAGAGCCCTGGATTTGGGGAATTGCCACCAACAGCCCAAGTACTGCAAGGACAGTCAAAATGAACACTCTGAGCTGAGAATACTGAATAATGGCTGCTACCATCATATGAACAACGACAACTACTAGCACTTTATTATGGTTTTAGAATTGTTTTAATTGCAACTTATGTTGCCAGTTTGGTGTAGCGGTTAAGTGCGTGGACACTAATCTGAGAGAACCGGGTTTGATTCCCCACTCCTCCACTTGCAGCTGCCGGATGACCTTGGGCAAGCCATAGTTCTGACAAGAGCTGTCCTTGAAAGAGCTCTCACAGCCCCACCGACCTCACACTGTGTCTTTTGTGGGGAGGGGAAGGGAAAGGAGTTTGTAAGCCGCTCTGAGACTCCAAGTGAAAAGGGGGGGGGTATAAGTCCAATCTCCTCCTCCTCCTCTTCTTCTAATGTAATTTATCTGTTTTATGTAAGCTGCCCTGAGTCAGCTCTGGCTGGGAGGGCCAAGGGCGGGGTAGAAATTCAAAAAATAAATCCCCCCCCCAAGAAATATTGATAAGGAGGGCAATGGTGGTTCTCCATAGTACTGGTGAACCCCATTAGAAATAGGATTTCATCTTCTCTATTGAGGACGGGGGGGGGAACCACCTTCCATCTGCAGTCATAAAAGGGCAACGTGGTCACTAGAATATGTCTTATATCCTTTCAGGGCTATCGCCCCACACAGGAGAGGGACAGTCTTGTCTGCTCCTGTGCCTTTCAAAGTCCTTTGATATGCAGAAATTAATAGGTGAAACTTGACACAGCAGGGAGACAACAAGTCTTATTATTAAATGACCCATAGATCAAGTTGCTGGTTGAAGCTGCAGCAGGGGCATGGAGGGAAAGGGGGAGGGGTGGCTCTACTGCCTTTAGTTTAAGAGCTCCCCACATGTTTCCCTCCTGTGAGCAGATCCCCCTGCCTGTAACTGCCCTATGCCACCCACCAGGTGCAGCTTTCCTCCATAAAGCCACAGCACCAGGAAACCACGGTCTGTTGAATTCTCACCATTCTGACATTTCCGAAAGGCAAAGAAGCCTCTGCGGAGGTATTTGGTCTATTACTGTACTGATGTACTTTGGTCCATGATCAATGCTCCCTCTAAGCTGTGGAGTCTTGTGAGCAAAAATTCTACTTTGTGAGCTCCTGGCACTAAAGTTGTGAGCAAAGAAGAAGAAGAAGAGATTGGATTTATACCCCGCCCTTCACTCCCCAAAGGTGTCTCAGAGGGGCTTACAAACTCCTTTCCCTTCCCCTCCCCACAACAGGCACCCTGTGAGGTAGGGGGGGCTGAGAGAGCTCTGACAGAAAGGGCTCTTTTTCCAGAACAGCTCTTATCAGAGCTACGGCTTGCCCAAGGTCATCCAGCCAGGTGCAAGTGGAGGGGTGGGGAATCAAACCCGGTTCTCCCAGATTAGAGACCGCGCACTTAACCACTACACCAAATTACACCAAACTAGCGAGGTATTTGGCTACTGCATACATTCGTTTGCTCTGGAGCCCTCCTTCCTGAGCTAAGGCAAAAAAAAAAAAAATCTGTGAGCCAGCTCACACTCAACTCGGCTTAGGGGGGACACCGTGTATTACTGTTCTGTGTCAGAAGCATCGTTCAGACAGAGACAGAAATCTGCCAGAGTTTACATCGTGCAATCCCTTGCTCCCGATGAATGACCTGAATATCCGTGTGATCCGGAATAACTCTTATTTCTTATGCTGTTTAGAAAGGGAAACTCCGCCTGTGCTCGCGGCTGCTAGACACAGCATGCGTCCATACAGTCCTGTAAAGAAAGAAAGGAACATTCTGTAGCCCAAGAGAAAGCGGTCGGTCACGACTTAAACGGATCGGCGGGAGTGGAAAAGAGTCTTCCCCCAGTCTCTTAACCATCCAGGTCTCTGGTGCTCTCCCCTTTCATCGGAAGTAGGCGGGGAACCTGACCAATCAGAAAACAGGAAGTAGCAAACAGAGGCATGGTAAATATACTACAGAAGAGGAGGAGCAAAGAACACTGTGCGGTTCCATAGTGTAGTGGTTATCACGTCTGCTTTACACGCAGAAGGTCCTGGGTTCGAGCCCCAGTGGAACCACGGGGTGAGTTTTTTTTTATTTTACTCGACTCAACATTACCCTAATAATTGCTGAGATGACGAGAGGCGTGCAAATTCCACCTCCCTCCCCCACATGAGTGAATTCCTTCTGGGATAAGAATAATGCTGTAGTAGACCAAAGAGTTACCAAAGACGAACAGTATGACGTCCTTCCTCACAGGGTGTGGTGGTTTCTGCTTAATTACTAGCGATCAAACCCGCGAACAAAATTAGCCTTTCTGGGTGATCAAGAGGCAGCCGCCCGAAAGCCCCGCCCGGTGATTCGACATCAAAAAGGCGTGGCGATATTCAGGCACTCCACACACGCTCACAGACACTTTGGGTTAGATCAAATTCATATATTGCTTCCCGGGGGTAAAATAAAGGGCCCGTACTAAAACTAAGGACAAGCGATTGCCCATAGGGGATATACATGAGTGGACAGCGAGTGCCCACAGGCAATACATGCGTGCCAATAGAGAATGCGTGATTGCCCATAGGGGATAATGGAGTACATAATTGCCAATAGAGAATCCATAATTGCCCATAGGGAATAATGGAGAGTAGGCTTGCCCAGAGGGGATAGTTCAGTACATAATTGCCAACAGAGAATCCATAATTGCCAATAGAGAATCCATGACTGCCCATAAGGAATAATGGAGAGGAGTCAGGACGCTTGCCCATAGGGGATAATGGAGTACATACATGCCAACAGAGGTTCCATGATTGCTCATAGGGACATAATTGCCAACAGAGAATCTATGATTGCCCATAGGGAGCAATGGAGAGCAGAGTACACCTGACCATAGGGTATAATGGAGTCCACGCTTCACACAATGAATAAGGGAGACCACGCTTGTCCAGAGGGAATAAGGGAGACCACACGTGCCCATAGGGAATAAAGGAAACCACGCTTGCCCACAGAGGATATTGGGGTCCACGCTTGCCCAAAGGGAATAATACAGACCAAATTTCCCCATAGGGAAAACAGGGCCAATGCTTGCCATAGGGATTAAGAAAGAACAGGCTTGCCCATAGGAACTACTGGGGAGCATCCTTGCCCATAGCGAATAATAGAGACAATGCTAGCCCATAGAGAATAATGGAAACCACGCTTGCCCATAGGGACTAATGGAAAGCACGCTTGCCCATAGGGACTAATGGAAAGCACGCTTGCCCATAGGGACTAATGGAAAGCACGCTTGCCCATAGGGACTAATGGAAAGCACGCTTGCCCATAGGGACTAATGGAAAGCACGCTTGCCCATAGGGACTAATGGAAAGCACGCTTGCCCATAGGGAATAATGGAAAGTATGCTTGCCCATAGGGACTAATGGAAAGCACGCTTGCCCATAGGGACTAATGGGATGTACTAAAACTAAGGACAGCGATTGCCCGTAGGGAATACATGAGTGCCCATAGAGAATAATGGAGAATAGGCTTGGTCAGAGGGGATAGTGCAGTACATAACTGCCAACAGAGAATCTATGATTGCCCATAAGGAATAATGGAGAGGACCCTTGCCCACCTCTATTCCACCTCTCGCGTGTGATGACATCACACGCAAGAGGTCATTCCGGCTCCTCCAGCTCTCTTAAAGGTAAAGATAAAGGGTTGCGGTGCTCATCTCCGTTTCCAGGCCGAAGAGCCAGCGCTGTCCGAAGACGTTTCCGTGGTCATGTGGCCGGCATGACTAAACACCAAGGCGCACGGAACTCTGTTACCTTCCCACCGAAGTGGTCCCTATTTCTCTACTTGCAATTTCTTGCTTTCGAACTGCTAGGTTGGCAGGAGCTGGAACTAGAGATGGGAGCTCACTCCGTCATGCGGCACCCGGGTCTCGAACTGCTGAACTACCGACCTTCCACAGCCTGCAGTTCAGCGTCTTAACCACTTGAGCCACCGCAGCTCTCTTAGGGGGCTTTTAAAAAAGTTATGGCGGCCACTGCCAATAGTATTGCCACTGCTGGCGGCGACAGCTGCAACGGGGGGGGGGAGCAAAACGTTCCCCGCCTCCCTGAGCCCCGGGGTGTTGGCCGTGGACTCCGAGGGCCAAATTCCACCTCTTGTGAGTGTGCGCGGGCCGCCCGCTCGTCCTCCTCCGCCCTGCCCGGCTCAACCCCGGGCTCAACCCTCCGGCTACGTCACCAGCAATCGCCTGCCTGTTTCTCCTCCGCCTGGGCGAAGCTGGAGCCGGGCAGGGGAGCCGGGCAGAGGCGCTTCGGTGGGGGCACCCCCTGCCCTTCGGTTTCCCCTTCCTTCCAGCACCGTAGGAGGGGCGCGCGTTTGTTCCAGGGAGGCCGGGCGGAGCTGGAGGGGGAGGAGGGGTCACAGGAACGGAATCGGTTGGACTCAAGTCCGCAGGAGCTGCCGAGGTAAGAGGATGGGTGGGTGGGTGGGTGAAGCCCCAGGAGCCAATGTCCCCTCTAAGGTGCGGAGTCTTGTGAGCAAAAATTCTACTTTGTGAGCTCCTGGCATTGAAGCTGTGGGCGAGCGATTGGGCTGCTGCATAAATCAGTTTCTGGCATTAAAGTTGTGAGCGAGCGATTTGGCTGCTGCATAAATTAGTTTGCTCTGGAGCCCTCCTTCTTGAGCTAAGACAAAAACGTGTGAGCCGGAGGCTAAAAAACTGTGAGCTAGCTCACACTCACTCAGCTTAGAGGGAACACTGCTCTGGAGCCATCCTCCCTGAGCTAGGACAAAAATGTGTGAGCCGGAGGCTAAAACCCCCGTGATCTAGCTCACACTAACTCAGCTTAGAGGGAACACTGCCCAGGACTTCGGGTTATGAAACTCCACGGAGCTTTCTTGGGCTAGGTTAATGCGCACCTGTGGTCTTGCTTGTGATCTTAGGGTGCTAGCCCCACTTCTTAACACTGCTAGTGGAGTCGGGCTCCTGGAGCGTTTTAGAAAGCACCCAGAAACAGAATTGGGGGGGGGGGGGCAGTGTTCCCTCTTACCTAGGTAGCTCACACATTTTTGTCTTAGCTCAGGAAGGAGGGCTCCAAAGCAAACTGATTTATGCAGTAGCCAAATCGCTCGCTCACAACTTTAATGCCAGTGGCTCACAAAGTAGAATTTTGCCCACAAGAACTCCGCAGCTTAGAGGGAGCATTGATTTTTTTTTGGGGGGGGGACTGTTCCTCTCTCACAGGTTTTCCTGGTCTAGTCTAGAAAGGGGTTGGGAAGTTTACCCCTCAGAGGGAGAAGAGAGAATGGGAAGGGGAGACCCTTGGAAAGATGGACAAGTGGGAGCTTTTACCCTGAACTGGCCCTTTCACGGAGGACAAAAACTTGGCTCCCAACTTCTGTCTGGTAACTCAGGGAATTGGTTTCATTCATTTGATTTTAAGACGCTGAACTGCAGACTGGAAGGTCGGTAGTTCGGCAGTTTGAGACCCAAGTGCCACCTGACAGAGTGAGCTCCCATCTCTGGCCCCAGCTTCTGCCAACCTAGAAATTGAAAGTAGATAAATAGGTACTGCTTTGGTGGGAAGGTAACAGCATTCAGTGCGCATCAGCGTTTAGTCATGCCGGCCACATGACCACGGAAACATCTTCGGACAGCGGTGGCTCTTCGGCTTGGAAATGGAGATGAGCACCGCCCCCTAGAATCAGGTTCGACTGGCTTTCGAGTAAGGGAAACCTTTACCTTTGCCCCTTTCACCTACGACAAAACTTGGCTCCCAACTTTTGTCAGGTAACTCGCTGAAAACAGATTTGTTGCATTTGTTTGGGAGCCAGTTTGGTGTAGTGGTTAAGTGCGTGGACTCTAATCTGGGAGAACCGGGTTTGATTCCCCGCTCCTCCACTTGCATCTGACTGGATGACCTTGGGCAATCCGTAGTTCTGATAAGAGCTGTTTTTGAAAAAGAGCAGTTTCTGTTAGAGCTCCCTCAGCCCCACCCACCTCACAGGGTGTCTGTTGTGGGGAGGGGAAGGGAAAGGAGTTTGTCAGCTGCTCTGAGACGCCTTTGGGTAGTGAAGGCCGGGGTATAAATCCAATCTCCTCCTCCTCCTCCTCCACTGTAGATGATGCCTGACCAACCCCCAACCCCCCCATTCTGATTTCTGTAGCCTTTGGGCAACCGTCTCTCCTCATCCACAGAAACATGGGGCTGTCATGACATCCAGTGAAAGCTTTTCAGTTTTCCTGGGGTCTCCTTGCTTTAATGCCTTGGATGCAGATTTCGGCTTCTTGCTCTGTATCTCACACTCACAGCAAGACAAGCAGCCTCCGTTTTGTCAAAGTGCTGCCTGAAGTGATAGCTGGGCGAAGTGTGTTATGTGCGTGGATTTTTTCAAAAGTCCTGGTTTTATCCCGTCCAAAATGCCTAAAAGGAGACTCCTTCCCTTGCAGCCTCGGATGGTGGGAGAAGATGGCGCATCTCTACCAATTTCTGCTGATCCCCACTCGCCTGACCCTTAAAGCCTCTACAGTCTTGTACCGACTGGGTGCCTGTGGTGTTGCTTGCCTCGCTGCGGTCTTCTACTCTTCGTGGGTGCTCTATTTGGTACTGAGAAAGGGGCCCCGTGCGGTCTTCAGTAAAAAGAGGCGTGATGCGCCACCGAGCTGCCTCACTGACACATCCTGTGGGGAGCACCGATATTTGATACTTAGGGTGAGTACAGGGATACTTAGGGTGTTAAGGGAGAATTCTGCAGAGCAACTGTGTGCGGGGGCTCCAAGGGCAGGCACTGAAATAAGAGACGAGGGCAAGACCCTAGGAGTGGGTGTGGCGGCGGGGGCTCAGTGGTTAAGGCGCTGAACTGCAGACTGGAAGGACAGTCGTTCGGCAGTTCAAGACGCGAGTGCCGCATGACGGAGTGAGCTCCCGTTTCTGGCCCCTAGCAGTTTGAAAGCAAGAAATTGCAAGTAGATAAATAGGGAGGGCTTCGGTGGGAAGGTCACAGCGCTCCGTGCGCCTTGGCGTCTAGTCATGTCAGCCACATGACCACGGAAATGTCTTCGGACAGTGCTGGCTCTTCGGCTTGGAAACGGAGATGTGCACCGCACCCCCAGAGTCAGATTCAACTGGCTTTCGAGCAAGGGAAACCTGACCTTTTAGGAGAAGTACATGCTGTTGGTGCATTGGAAAGGATGGGAGAGGTATCTTGGGGTGCCTGGCCATAACTGCCCTGTTTCTTTATCCCCGGGGGGCTGAAGAACTCAGGGCTGAGGCTCCACTACGTTATAGCTGGCCGGGAAGGGGCACAGTTGATGCTTTTCTTGCATGGATTCCCCCAGAATTGGTAAGTGTTGCGCTGGTGAGTAGCAATAGGAAGACAGATAATGTGTAAGCCTGTTCATTCTCCTTGTCATTGATGGACTGCAGTTATGTTATACAGTGTGGCATTTGACATAATGGGGTATATGTGCATACATCACTGCTAGAAATCGAAAGGTAAGGAGTACTGTGTACAGTTTGGGTCACCACACCTCAAAAAGGATATTATAGCATTGGACAAAGTGCAGAAGAGGGCGAGTAGAATGATAAAAGGGTTGGAACACTTTCCCTATGAAGATAGGTTAAAATGCTTGGGGCTCTTTAGCTTGGAGAAAGGACGGCTGAGGGGAGACATGATTGAGGTTTACGAGATTATGCATGGGATAGAGCAGGTAGAGAAAGAGGTACTTTTCTGCCTTTCTCACAATACAAGAACTCGTGGGCACTCAGTGAAATCACTGAGCAGTTGGGTTAGAACGGATTAAAGGAAGTACTTCTTCACCCAAAGAGTGATTAACACATGGAATTCACTGCCACAGGAGGTGGCAGTGGCTACAAGCATGGACGGCTTCAAAAGGGAATTAGATAAGCACAAGAAAGAAGACCCGCGAAACTCGCGGGGGGGGATCTCCAAACTGAGCTGCCGGAGGAGGAACCAGCAGGAGCAGGTAAGCTTCCCCCCCCCCATCCTGCCGGTTCCTCCCTGTCCTCCACCCTCCCGCTGGATCTCCCCCCCGCCTCCCTCCCTACGAACCGAGGCCTGAGCGGCTTGCAGCCGCCGGGCCTCGTCGGTCCCTCCCCCGCCGTTCCCCCCGCTGCAAAGCGAGGCCCGTGCGGCTTTTGGCCGCCAC